CACACACACACACACACACACACACACACACACACACACACACACACACACACACAAATACACACACAAACACCCAACTCAGAACCCTTAAAGGTTTGAGTTCCACTTGAGGAGCCCTCAGGTCTGCCTCAGGTTCAACAGTTGACACGAACCAATCAGAATCCTTCCTCACAGCAAACAGGAAGTGACAACTCACCAATCACATTCATCCAGCCCAGGTGTTGACACTTGGACAGGTGTTTGACCAGCTGCTCCATGGCAACAGGACCGTCTGAGACAAAAGAAGCACCTGAGACAGAGACAGGTGGACAGACGGACAGGTAAGACAGAGAGACAGGAAGTGAAGTTAACCAGGAAGAGTTGGAATGTTACGGAAAATTAAAAGGAAATGATGTCATGATGATGTCAATGAAATGATGTCATTAGATGAGCCAGTGTTGAGGATGACTCTCAGCTACTACCGCGATTAATTTTAGCTCATTATCAGCAAAAAATATTTCAGCCGTTTTTAATACCAACTGGTCATTTTGAATTTACCTGTCGTGATGTAGATTGATGGACTCTAGATGAACAAAACAAGCTCAATTTGGCTAAATTCATGCTAAAGCTAAATGTAGAAAAGAACTAGCTAAAATAATAGATCAGATGCTAATTGTAGCAAATTATTATCCAATTAACACAAAAGTAATTAAAAGCAGCATCTTCTTAAATGTTGCCTAAAGCTAAACAAATTCAAAGCTAAAATAAGCTAAACAGCGGCTACAATCATTACAGATGCTAACATTTGCTAATTGCAGCTAAAGGTAGCAAAACAGATGCTAAAAGTATCATTTGCAAAGCAGTTGCTAAAAAGGTTGTGAAATAAGGTCTTTACAAAACATGTCATGAAGCTAAAATCAGCACAGAAGTAGCTTCAAAGTAATAGAGCTGTAGCTGAAAGACATTTAATAGCTAAAAGCAGAAGAGCTAAAATTAGCGTAAGAACACAAAAAATGGGAAAAAAATTTATTTAAAAACATACGTTAAGTAAAAGTTATAAAAACTGAAGCATCGCAAACTTTTTTTCAAACCAGGCCAAATGTTTTGAACGACATATGAAAGCTACTCTGGGTGTCAACAAAAAAATAAACAAACAGAAGCTGTAAACAGGTAAACAATCATGTGAAAACTGACAGTTCTGAGATCCTTCTGCAGGTACAGACAGGTAAACACACAGGTACAGACAGGTAAACACACATGTACTGACGGGTAAACACACATGTACTGACGGGTAAACACACATGTACTGACAGGTAAACACACATGTACTGACGGGTAAACACACATGTACTGACGGGTAAACACACATGTACTGACGGGTAAACACACAGGTAAACACACAGGTAAACACACATGTACTGACGGGTAAACACACAGGTAAAGACACAGGAACATACAGGTAAACAAACAGATAAACAGGCAGGTAAATACACAGGTACATACAGGTAAACACTCAGGTACAGACAGGTAAACACAGAGGAATATACAGGTAGACAGATAAACAGGCAGGTAAACACAGGTAGACAGGTAAACACTCAAGTACTGGCAGGTAAACAGTCAGGTAAACACACAGGTACAGACAGGTAAACACTCAGTTACTGACAGGTAAACACTCAGGTAAACACACAGGTACAGACAGGTAAACACTCAGGTACTGACAGGTAAACACTCAGGTAAACACACAGGTACAGACGGGTAAACACACCAGTACAAACAGGTACAGACAGGTAAACACTCAGGTAAACACACAGGTACTGACAGGTAAACACACAGGTACTGACAGGTAAACACACAGGTACTGACAGGTAAACACACAGGTACTGACAGGTAAACACACAGGTACAGACGGGTAAACACACCA